CTCCGCGCGGCCGCGCCGTCGCCGCGCGCCGCCGCGCGTCGCCGACCCTCGCGCCTCCCCGCGCCCTGGCCCTCGATCCTCGCTCCTCGGCCCTCCTCCCCCTGCCCGATGCTCGACCCTCGGCCCTCGACCCTTGCCCCTCGCTCCTCCCCCTGCCGCTTGCGGGCGGGGGGCGCGAGGGGCGGCAAGGGAGCGCTGGGCGGGAGAGGCGCCCGGCCCGCAGCACTCGGCAGCAGAAGCCGGGGGGCGTGAGGCGGCGGGGGCGCGGAGGAGAGGCGCGGGGGCAAGCAAGAGGGCCCCCTCCTCCTCTTCCTCCTCCGCCTGGGCCGCTCCTCCTCCCCTTCGATGCTCCCCTTCTCTTTCTTGGGCAAGCCGCGGAGCAAACACTCGGAGCGTCCGTCCGCCCGTCCTCCTCCTCCTCCTGCTCCAGCCCTTGTGCTCGAGAATAACTCCTCCCTGTCGCACCCCGAGGCCGGTCGAAGGGGATGGGCAGGGCGTTTCGCACGAAACCCCTCACCATTTATGATCCTGAAGCTTGATGTGTGCGACGTTTTCACGGATGGAGGGAGTGTGGTTTTCAAAATGTGGCTCTAGCTGTAGCGCCGCGCACAATCGTCTCCAACATGTTTGCAACACTTTCACACATTGAGGGCGGTTCCTTTTCAGAATGTGGTCTTCGACTCAGTGCTGCGCATATCCCATTTAACAGCTAACAGCAGTTTCAAGGACTGGAATCGCGCGCGCGTCGCGCTTACGTGGGTTCTGCCTGTGCACAAGCAGAAGAATTACGGTGAAACCATCGGGCTTGAAGTAGGTGCAGGAGAATCGAGGGCTCACTGAAGATTCACCGAGGACGGTAAGCCATGAGGAATGAGGACACACAAAAACAACCAGAGAAGTGAGGAAACGAGCATTATAGGATAGGGAAGACGGAAACGCACTCGGGAACACGCCAAAGGCTGGTACAGGAGGAAACGGAAGGAGGGGTAGATCGACCTTGACAAATGATGTGAGGGGATTCGATCTTTTTTCCCCAAGCTGGGTGGATGACAGAAATCAGAGGATGAGAAATGGGTGAGACGGAAGCACATGAGGGAAGCGGGGAGAAGAAGGCGTGACAGAGAGACGAGCAGGAGGGAGGAGGGAACATGACGCAGTGGGGAGGAGGGAGGCAGAGAGGAATGAGACCGATGTTGAACGGGAGACGGAGAACCAAAAACAGACGAGAGAGAGAGAGATAGATAGAGAGAGAGAGAGAGAGAGAGAGAAATATAGAAACAACAAACATATTGCGGACAACGAGGGACGAGGAAAACGGAAACGCACCCTGGGGCACGCCAAAACCTTGGACAGGAGGACACGGAGGCGGGGGCCGACCCTGTACATCCACGGATTCAGGGGACTTGTTTTTTGTTCCTTGTTCTGTCAAGCTGGGCCTCCCGCCACTCTGTGGGGCAGGATGCGAGGTGAGGGAGGCGGATGGAGTGAGGAGGATTGCAAAAAAACGAAAGATTGCAATCCTTGGTTTTGGCCATCCTTTTTGAAGGATTGCAAAAAAACATTTGTTTGGCAATCCTTTTTGCAATCCTTTTTGCAATCCTTGCTTTTTTTTGCAATCCTTCGTGGAGGTGAGCTGAGGATGAGGGCGGAAAGGACCGGACGCTGCAAGGGAAGAGGGCGAGGAGGAGGGCGGGATCCGGGAGCAGGGACGCTGCGAGAGCAGAGTAGCCGCCTCCGCCGGCTTTGCCGCCATCTTGGGATGTCTCGGCGCAGGTCTCCCCGGGAACATCCTCGGGAGGTCTCGCAGGCCCTCCCGGCGCACGCTGGGAGCGTGTCTCGTGGCCTCCTGGGCCTCTCGGGGGCCCGAGTGGGAGCTCTTCAGGGCCTCGCGGTGCCCTCTTCGGCGCTGGGCACCTCGGGGGCGGATCCTGAAAACTCGTGGGGGCCTCTTCGGAGCGTCCTGGGGGCCTCGGTGGTGCCTCTTCGGGCGTCATGGTGACCTCTTGTGGCCTCATCTCGGAGCTCTCCTGGGGTATATGGGAGCATCTTGGGAACATCTAGGTCGGAAACATATCGGACGCGGAAATGCGAGAACCGCAAACACATAGATTTCCCCGTTGCTTTTTCAAGGAGTTTGGCCTCTCGAGAACTTCCCCGGAACTCTTGGGGGACTCTTGGAGGCCTCTTGGGGCGATATTGGGTGCTCTTGGGGGCTTCCAGAGCCGTCGGGGGGCCGTCTTGGACAGGCTTGGAGCACTGCTGAGCTGTCTCGGGGGCGTCCTGGGCCGTCTTGAGACCCTCCGTGGGCTCTCTCTTGGAGGCCCCAGAGGGTGGTACGGGGATCTATCTGCCTCAAATGGTTACGGGGGATTTGCCTCAGATGGTTGCGAGCGAAGTTCGCGGGTCCCCGTGGGGGCGGGGGGTGTTTTGTTGTTGTTGTTGTAGTTGTTGTTGTTGTTGAACATTATTACTTCTAAAGAATAATTATTGTTGGGGCCCCTGGTGCACGGCCCCCCCGCCGCGCCTAGGCCGCAGCCACATTTTCATCATTTTCGCGAGGAAGTCTCAGGCAAAACGGGTTGGTCCGGATCCGGTTGTTTTGTTCCCCCCCGCTTTCCCTTGCAAAAAATTAGCTAAAGTTGACATTTCTTGTTCTAACATAACCAAACTTCAAGAATCCCTTGCAAAAAATAAGGTAAAGTGGACATTCGTTCGCGCAAGACGAAATCCTTCCAAAACCTTAGTTTTCGTATGGATTTTAACATAAAAACATAAAAAAAAAACCAATGGTTTTTAAACAAAAAAAAGTCAACATTTCATCCCGCGCGCTCTTGCGGATTCGTAGGAAACCCAACACTTTTTAAACATTTCTGTCAAACGGGCTTTTGCGAGCAACTTTTTCGAACTTCTGCAACAACGGTTGCGCACCTGCCAGGGCCATCATCCCTGTCAAATAATACCATGCGGGACACATTCGTTTTTTCTTCGCGCGCGCACGCCGTCGTCGTCGGCCGCGGGGCCCTGAATAGTAGCCACGGTCGTCCGCATGCCACGAAGTGAAGTGTCCGAACGTCATAGGGCGGGAAGCTGGGTGTGGGTGGTGGCGAAGAGTCGTTTGGAAATTTGGTAGAGCTTGAACCGGCCCCCCCACAAAGTGGGGGTATTGCCCGCCTCCTATGAAAACCCTGGCACTGGTGAGAACGGAGTGTCCCCACGTGCTAGTAATTGTTGTTGTTGTTGTTGTCGAACTCTCATTTTTGCACAAATAATAGCATTGTTGCCCCTCACCGGTGCATACTCTTTTTTCTTCATCAAAATGTGCCCCTCGACGCTCGCACCCTGTTTTTTGACAGGGAGTCTTCCTGTTCAAACTGTGCCCCTCGCCACCCGAATTACGACAACAATGGCTCCCGCCTGCGACCTCCTCCCAATTTACTCAGGACCCCGCTCCCGCCTGAGACCTCCTCACAATTTAATCAGGATTTGTGTTGCCACCTATGACTTCCTCGCACTTTAGTCAGGATCCCCGCTCCCATTTGAGACTTTCTTACAATTTACTCAGGAACGGCGCTCCCGCTCGAGGCTTCCTCGCAATTGAATGAAAACTGCTTCGCAATTTAAATCAAGACCCCCGCTCCCGCCAGAGAGCCCCTCACATTTGATGCAGGAATTGCGCTCTCGCCTGTGACTGTGATGCAATTTATTCAGAAATCGCGCTTTCGACGCTCAGGAGTTATTTGCGCCAAGGACGCCGCCGCCACAATTTACTTGGGAATCGTGCTTTCGCCATGCTCAGGCATCCCACTTGAATGTCCCACCCGCCCGACCCGCGCGTCAGGGGATCGCCCGCCCGTCGTGGGCTCCCACCCGAGACTTCCCGCAGGAACGGCGCTTTCGCCTAGGACTTCTTCGAACGTTCACGCTCTTTCCGTCCTGCTCATCCTCCCTCTCCCTCCTCCCTCCTCCCTCCTCTCCTCCCTTCTCTCTCCCTCCTTTCCCCCCTCATCATTATGCCTCTATGCCCTATCCCCTGTCCCCTGTCCCTCCTCTCCCACCTCCCTTCTCCCTCCCCTCTCCTGCCTCCTCCCTCCCTCTTTCTTGTTTGTTCTCTCTCTCTCTCTCTCGTTCTCTCTCTCTCTCTCTCTCTCCTCTCTCTACCTCTCTTAATTGTATGTCGCTCTCTCTCTCTCTCTCTCTCTCTGCCTCTCATCAACCGCCCCCCTCTTCGCTCCTTCTCTTCTTGCGTTTTCCCTCTTCCTTCGTCCCTCCCCCTCCCTTCGTCCCACTCTCCCTCGTTATCCCCCTCTCTTTCTGCAGGGCCCACACCAATTCCAATGGCGGGCACATGTACGCTCACGAAGGATTGTCCGCCCGTTCAGTCTTGCCCGCCTGTCTAAGTCCGCCGCCCTCCGCAAAGAGAAATAATCCCCCCAAAGGGGTGCGTATCGAGGGTGCGGGGAACTCGGTTGAACATGGCACACGGGCAAATAAGAGCGACCAGTCTCAGAATGAGTGTTGTTGTTGACTTACGTTTGTTGACCGTGTGTTGATATGTTGTGTTTGTTATTTTGTTGTTTGGGGACACGATTAACATCACTATCCTTATCAGCGGTCATATTATTAATCGTATTTTACCTGTTGTACGTAGGATGCTAGACTGCTACTGTGTGACTTGGTATTGGCATGGTTATTGATATTCGTCGTAGAATTTTTAGTTGTATTGTGTATACTTGTGTACGCGCGTGTGTGTGTGTGTGTGTGTGTGTGTGTGCGCGTGTGCGTGTGCGCGTGTGCGTGTGCGTGTGTGTGCGCGCGTGTGTATATGTGTATTTGCTTCAATCGTCAACCCTGGAAGCCCCCTTAGGGACCAGCACCCCAAATGCGACCAGCCCTCTGGACGGAGGTGGTCTAGAGCGTTTCGTCTTCCATCCCCCGTATAGAAAACCTCTCCTCACCCTCTCCCCTGGACTTCGCCGCGCCCACTGAACAAACCCTGCAAC